TAACCTCTCACATCGCAGTGGGGGTCTGGCAGGGTAATGTCCTTCTAACCCCAGAGGGAGCTGAGGCCCAAGAAGAAAGGGACGCATCAAGGTCACACAGCAACCTAGTGGCAGAGCTGTGTCTTTGGCTGGTCGGGGTCAAGCCATTAAAAAGATCCCACCTGTGACCCCTACCCACAGTCACTGTCTGACCCCAGATCTCTACGGAGAATTTCCAGCAGCTTCTTCTCGTGTCTTTATTAAGTTCTTAAAATCAGTCATTCCAACAATTTTATCTTTGTATTATTAAATCATTGAAAAGAAGCCGCTCTATCTCTGCCTGGACTGCCCGGATGGGGCCACTGTCCCTAGGTGCCACCCAAACCCTGCAAACGGCAGATTCATGAACACAGGCCCTTGAAAGGCAGCAGAGGCCCACACTTGCTGAGAATGTAACACGAACGTGTGAGCACCACCAGGCCCACACTGAGCACCAAGTTCACACCTGATCACCTCTCAGCACATGGCCTGGCTCCTTTACCGGCTCAGCAGGTATTTGTTCAGTGAATAGGTGATGAAGTGTCAGGCCCAGTTGCTAAGCACATTCCATCGACCCCTCCCCTCGTTGGGCCTTCCAACAGACCTGTGAGGGAGGCATGGCCAGCCCCCACCCAGCCCCCACGGAGCTCAGAGGGGTGACGTAACCTCCAGCTCACACAGCTGGTAAGTGACAAGGCTGCATTTGAACACAAACCTGCTGACGCCAGGCTCTTGAGCATTGCTCACTGTGGCCTCGAACCATCCCATGTGCTGATCACAAGAACGTGGCATCCAGCAGCTGCATACACGTACAGATCATGCGCACAGACATGCGCGCACTGCTGGCCCATGTGGCAGTCCTTTATTCACAAACATATAATGCTTACTCTGTGGCCAGTGCTACTCCAAGTGCGTGGCACTCAATCCTCACAGCAACCCTATGAAGAAGGGACTATTAGTACATTCAACTCACAGTTGAAGAAACCAAGACACCAAAAGGTTATGTGACTTATCCAAGGTCACATGGTTAGCGAGTAGAAAAGCCAAGATTTAAACCTACACAGTCTGGCTCCAGAACCCATGCTCCCTCCAGACCTCAGGACTCAAAAGCCAGGAGCCGGTTGCCCAGCACCCTCAGTCCTCAGAAGAGGGCTGGACAATACTTCTCAAAGCCCAATTCCCAGCAGAGCAAACAGGCCCAGAGAAAGGAGGCAGCTCGCTTTTGGACACACAGCTGTGTATGCCCAGTCTGTCAACCCAGAGCATCTGCATCAGCCCTAGGGCACCCCACAGACCTGCCTATCTCCCAACATCTCCCATACGGCCCTACAGTCCCCTCTTCCACCCCGGGGAGACGTTGATCCTAGACACCAAGGAGGAGTGATTGCCTGGTGACAGCGTGGTCAGAGGAAACAAGACATCAGACGTGAGCATCACATTTTTGAAAAGAAAGCCAGAGACTGGGCCGCAGCCAGAGAGGCCGTGAGAGGGACGGAGGAGATGAGACCAGAGGCCAAAAGGAGCCCACTCCGCCAACAATTTCGAACCAGACAAGGCCGAAATAGATTTTCTCTTGAGCTCTCTTGTAAACACACTTCAGAGCCACTGATGGCAGGAGCTGGAGGGGGAGAGGGAGACAGGACGCAGCGATAACGCAGGGCAAGGCGGCAGAGAGCAGGGAGAACGCACGGGCACCGGGAGACGAAATCGCCTGTCGGAAAAGGCAACTGGAAATTCCATTTGGGTTTCGATTTGAAGGTGGAGAGAGGCCAGGAGCTTGGGGAGTAGGGTGACTGAGTTAGAGACGGAAAGAGAGAGGACTCAGAGACAGAGAGGAGAGGACAGAGACATGAGAGACAAGAGCCGGAGATGGAGAGGAGGAGATAGAGAGACAGGAGAACGATGGAGAAAAGCAAATGCAAATTACAAGATCCCAGGAAGCCCCTCGATGTACAATTCAAAAAAGCCACACATTCACACTCACAGTCGCTCTCACACGCTCACGCACACACTCATGCACACTCCTGCTCAGGACTCAGAGACCTGGGTTCCAGTGCTGGCTCTGCCCTTGACATGCTGTGTGACCTGGCAGAAGACCCACCTCCCTTTAAGCCGTGGGTCTCCCCTACCCCGAGGATTGGTGAGCTTAAGCTGGTTTCGGGGAGGCCAGGGCATATGGGCAACAGCATCTAGGAAGGCAGCAACCTCACCCCGATGTTTCTTCTATGTGGCTGAGGGCTCTGGCCAAGCAGGCACTGAGGGACACCCAGGGAAGGGGCCGGGGTGGGCAGGGACCCAGTGTTTCCACTCACAGATGAGCAAACAGGCTCGAAGCAGCAAAACAGTTCTATCAACTTAATGCAGGCAGGACAGGGGCCGGCCTGTGAGGTCCATGACGCACCCTCTGCCAGGGAGGGGGACAGAGTAGGAGGAGTTGCCTTCCACAGTCCATCCCATCCGGGGTCCAGGACAGGCCTGGCACTTCGTTCTTGCCCAGAGTGGGAGTGGACATGTCTATAGTGTGGGGTGCACACAGTGGCTGGGCGCTGACCTGCGCAGTCCCTGTTCTAGGCACTTTGCAGGTTTAATTTACTGGCTCCTCACACCCACCCTGTTAGGAAGCTAAGCCCCATTTAACAGAGGAGGAAACAGAGACACTCTCATTAAGGGACTGCCTAGGGTCGTGCAGCCCCTGCAGCCTCCCCAACCATTTGCACACCTTTCTAGAAGGAGGCCTCAGCTCCCCCCGCGCAGTCCAGCCTAGAGGCTCTGCCTCGGCTTCCCCACCCACTCCTCCAGGCCAGGCCCAGCACGGTGTGTAGTCCGGCCTTGGAAGGCCGCGGAGCAGCGACGGTAGGAAGCTGGGGCCACGTAAGGCTGGCTGCAAAGAGCCAGCTGAGGCCTGGGGTGTCCCAAACCCACGCTCCTATCTGGACACCGCAACCCGGACGGCGGCAGACCGGATCGCGGAGTCGCGCGGCGCGAGAAAGCTGTCCTGCGGCGCCACCTAGTGGCCGAAGAGGCTGCCTGGCCCCGCGAGTCTGGCTGAGTGCCGCCGCCTGCTGTCCGGCTGAGCACCGGGCTGAGCTGGGGACACCAGAGGAATCCTCCGGCCCCAGGAACCCCGTTCTCTGGGACATTGGAATACAAAGAATCCCTCCACCTCAGAGGCCGTGTGCTGATCATCCCAGGCCGGGAGGAAGAAGAGGGGACGGCAGATCTTGGTCTTTCGCCCTTCCGAGGGGCCGATTCACATCCCATGACCACCTGGACATCTCTACCGCTGTCCACAGGTGACCCAGACTCAACCTTCATCTATTTAATTTGTGCATTTATGAACCGCTTACTGTATGCCAGGTACTATTCCAGGCGCTAGAGATATAATGATGAACAAAACAAAGCTCTCTGCCCTTGTGGAGCTAATGGTGGGGCGTGGTGGGGAAACAGACAATAAACTTAAAGAGGCAGTGGGGAATCTGTCTGTTTTAGAAGCGAGAAAAAAAGAGCAAGTCTGACAACGTCACTGGGTTCAAAGCCTTCCCCCACCCCACCCCTGCCCTTAGGGCAAACTCATGGACTTTGACACCAATTAGACCATCCTGCCCTCAAGGCTCCTCTGGGCCACTCCTGTCCCAGGGGACATGACCTCACCTCGGTGTCCTCCTGCCTGGGACTCTCCCCCTTCGCATAGTTCCTCTTCTCCAGAGGTGTCTTGACTCCCTGGCTGGCAGGCCTCATCCAGTGACAGCACTGCTCTTCTGAGTGGCCCACACAAAGGCTCAGGCCAGGCTCTTTGACTTGATTCCCAGCTTTGATACCGCCTGTGTAGCCTAGGTTCCTTGGCCTCACTGTGCTTGTTTCCTCATCTGTAAAATGGGGAAAACCTCAAAATCATGGGGGTCGGGCGAGGATGAATTAACAAAAATAAACCACTGGGAATGGCACCTTGACATAGTTTTGTTATTATTAACATCTATTTAAGTATTTCTCTCCCTCCTCGCCTAGCTGATGGAGTTTAAACCGTGAAGTTCCCCTGGGAAGAAACAGCTGAGGCACTCTACAGCGTCCTGTATACAAAAGGCCCTCAGAACATGTTTACTAGTAAATTCAGTGGTTCCTCCTCTCACCATTCATCACTGCATGATATTTCATCTATTCCTCCTTCTGCATGACAGGTAGTACCGGACTAGGAACCGCAGATGGAGCAGTGAAGACAGGGTTCTTTCCCATTGCTAGAATTTCTAGGCCTGTAGTTCTCATACTTTTTGGTCTAAGAACCTCTTTATACTTTAAAAAATTCAGGATCCGAAAGAGTTTTTGTATGTGTAAATACCTACTGCTGTTTCTATATTAGAAACTAAAACTGAGAAAAATTTTAAATATTTATTAATTCATTTAAAATAACCTCATTGCATGTTAACATAAATAACTTTTTAAATGAAAATAGTTTTGTTTCTAACACAAAACAAAACAGTGGGAAAACACTGATATCGTTTTGCATTTTTGCAAATATCTTTAACGTCTTCGCTTTCTGGGCCCGCTTCACCGGCGCCCAGGTGGGCTTGCCGAGGCCTGGCACGCAAAGTGGCAATTGGGCTGAGATTGGCCTGTCTTTAATGTCTGGCTTAATGAAAGACAACTGGATTCTCATGCCGCACTCGATTTGTGTGAGATGTTGCTTTGGTTTAAGTATATGAAGAAAAATCCAGCTCAACATTTTCCTTTTTCGTAAAAATTGAGAATACTAACATTCCGCCCCGCCCCCGGCCTCGCCCACTACGGCGCCACCAGACCCGCCAACCAGGCTGGGCTAGTTGTGGATTGTTTCTGAGAGAAGGCGTGGCCTGGAGCGCAAAGTGGTATGTGGGCTAGGATTGGACAACAAACGCGTCTTTCTGCTCTTTGGCCCCGCCTCCGGCTCCCGCCCCTCTTCGCGGTAGTAAACCTGCAACTCCTAATGCATGCGTCCTAAGGAAGACGGGCTTTGGCGCCCGCCCACCCGGAACCTTCTGTTCCCGCTCCGGTTTCCGCGACGACAAGAGCGACCAAGACGGAAGTAGCGTGGGGTGTGTGGGCGGAGCTGAGCGCCGCCATGTCGGCTTCCCTGCTGCGGCGGGGCTTGGAGCTGCTCGGGGCGCCCGAGGGTGAGGAGGGCCGGCCTGGGGACCTCTAGCGCGGGCGGGTGTGCGTCAGGGACTGGGGGCAGGCGCATGGAGGGTGCAGAACGATCCAAGCTGGCCTTAGCCCCCGGAGGATGGGAACCCTGCGCGCCCTCCATCCTGGGTCCGTTCCTCTCTCTCTTCCCCTACAGCCCATGGGGCCGGGCCAGGCCAGGCTAAGCCGAGCGGGGCTCCGGTGAAGCGGGCGCAGAAGGCGAAGGCGAAGGCTACCCAGGCCGGGAAACTGCGGAACTCGGCCAAGGGAAAAGTGCCCAAGTCGGCGCTGGGTAAGCTCGGGAAGGGGCTGGACGTGCTGCCCCCGGGGTCGGAGTCTGCGCCCTAGAAGAGAGGGCTCTTGATGCAGAGCTCGAAACGTTCGTTAGGCATTTCTGGAATATCTACTGTGCGCCAATCGCAGAGCGAGGTCCTGGGAATACGGAGTGAACGAAACACATCGTCCCACGTCTCATGATCTACAGCCCTGCTGGGTAGAGAGGCATCCAAGAGTTTCAAAATCAGCTGTGATGAGGGCTTTGAAGAAGAGTACTCAGAGAGGAGCTTAGAATAAAAGGCCAAGTCAGACTTCCCCGAGGAAGCGGCATTTAAGCCCAGATCTGAAGAAAGTATAGAGTGAACTAAGGGGCAGAGTACTCTAGGGCGAATGGAATATGCAGAGTCGGAAAGAAGTGTGTTGCCTTTGAAAATTTGAAAGAAAGAAGCCTGGTAAAGGTGACATGTAGTGAACAAGGGTCAGAGACGGATTATTTAACAGTTAATACTATGTGTGCCCCTCGCTCTTCTAAGCCCTCTACAAACGTTCATTCATTTAATTCCTCACAGCAACTCTGAGGTCGGTACAGATGGTACAAGTGTAAACGAGACAGTATGTCTCCAGAGGCCTGCTCTGACCTCCGTGAAAATGGCAGGCACTGTGGCCTGGGCAGTGATGAGGGTGCAGAGATAACAAGAGAATTGTGCAAGTAGAAGGTGTGGTGAGGAGGGAGTGTTGATGGGCTTTGGTGGAGGAAGAGGGAGACACTGAGAATGGAGCTCAGTTTCTAAAGAGCATCTTGGGGGACGTGGTGCCACTTGAGACAGACTTAGGGACAGGTGTGGCAGGATGGTAGAAGGATATGTGGTAGGACTTGGTGAGCTCCGGGTTTGTCTTTGAATTCCCAGGGCCAGGTGCATTAAAGGTGTTCAGGGACTTGTTAAAAGAACTGGGAATTCCAAGGAGGAAACAGCCTGAGCACAAGTGTGGAGGCAGGAAAGGGAGACTCGTTTGAGCGACAGTGATATCGGTGTAAAGCAGGAGCATAGGATTTGTCCCACCACCCTGTCACACCTCTGCTCGAGCGCCTTTGTGCTGGCTGTTAACCACCTAGAATGTTCTTCCTCCAAATTTCCACCATCTCCCCGAGTCTTCTCTCAAATGTCATTTCACTGAGGCTTTCTCAGACCCTCAGATTTAGGATTACAACCCTCCACCCCTGGCATTCCTCGTTTCTGTTTAGTATTCTGTTTTTCTCCATAACATGTGTCAGCCTCCAAAATACTGTTTTCCTTGTTTATCACTTCTCTTCCCACCGGCATGTAAGCTGCAGGAGGGTTTTCTTGCCTGTTTCTTGTTGTATGTTCTGCACCTGGAACAGTGCCTGACACGCATAAGCGCTTGGGACATATTTGTTGAATAAATCACTTGAGAACTGGGAGCCGAGAGGGCTTCCAGCAGTGTCTGTGTGGGAAGTGGGTTTGACGGAAGAGAGCCCAGGCTGTTGGCAGTAATCAAGGAAAAGATCGACAGGGCCTTTGACAGGGCCATGGCGGGTGGAGGCGGAGCGGGGAGATGTCAGGAGGGGACCTAGAAGCCTTCCAAGGAGTGAGTCTGAAATGATGCCACCCTGCCTCCCATCCACAGCTGAGTTCCAGAAGCGAGAATGTCGAGGCTACCTTGGAGCGAACCTAAAGTATATGACCAGTGCAAGAAGCCCTGTGGCCGAGTGCATCACCCAGCAGGTTTGGTGGGGTTGTTGTGAGGGGGAACCTGGGAGGTGAGAGCTGAGGGTGTTCCTGGGATCCACGAGGGTCTCAGCCCTGAGCACAGGGTGGATGTTAGGCCACCCCCGTGCTCCCACATCGCTTTATTGTGAGGGATCTCCCCACAAAGGGCAGAGAACAGATCAGGGAAGATGGGGGGCCGGGCCAGGCCCTGCCTCACAGGAGGCGGGTGTGAGGGTCAGGTGAGGGGCCAGCACTTGGCCAGCTGTGCCAGGTAGTGTGGCTCCAGGGGTCCTGACTCCCACCCACCCCCAGATTATGCACCAGAACCGGGGCCGCAAGGCCTGTGACCGGCCCATGGTCAAGAAGAAGAAGAAGAAGGCCGAGGGCACTGTGTTCACTGAGGAAGACTTCCAG